TTTAAGTTTGACTAATGCAAAAATCAGGTTTTAGTTAATTAATTAAAAATATTTATTAATTAAATATAATAAATCACAGTTATATAATTAATGGTCACATATACATAATTATAGGTCACATGTCACATATTTTAAAATTAATTGATCACAAATTATTTCGAGGTCACGGATCAAAAAATTTGTACGTCATAGATTATTTTTGAGTCACATATTATTAAACTTTTAGGTCACAGCTGAGTAATTGGTCACAAATTACCAAACATTTGGTCACAGACTACCGCCACTACCACTATAGCCACTTTTGACCAGCCTCACCACGCCGCCACCTCCACAACAGCACCAATAAAGCCACTGACAACCACCTCCACCACGAATCACTTGCATATTACCTATTTTATAGGTCACAACTGCCAAACATCTCCAACAGAAAAGCGCTCACAGCCCACATCTCCACTTCCACCACCGCCACCTCCACTCTGCCATTTTGCAACCAACCAATAACAACTTGCACCACTACCATCGCCCAACCAACACCACTACCAATTTTTTCCAATCAGATGGCAGCTGCCAATTTTTTCCAATCAGACAGTTGATTCCTATTAAAATATATCTCTCCCCTAAAAAGCCAATCGTCACAATTTTCGCCAATGAAAATCGACATCTCCAGTTCCCGACCTCAATTCTTAGATTGCCATGACTCTTTACGACGACTCCCGCCTCCGCACTAGCCTAGATTTTCTCAGTTTTGAGGGAGATTTCAGGGATATTCGGTCCCTTCTTCTTCTAGCAATGGCCGAATAAATTTCCATCACCTGATTGCATCTGATGGCCGTGACTGAAATTGAATCCTATTAGGGGGCCTTTTCCTTGATTTGGGCTCAATTCACTTTGGGACTGTACTAGCAATATCGCGACGCTGTGAACGGCACAGGGAAAGAGACGAGGGAGAGATAGGGGGTAAGGGGAAGGGGATGGAAGAGATGGAGGGGACTGTACTAGCCACCCCAGTAACTCTATATCTATATCTCTATCTCTATCTATATCTCACTTACACATTCGAGTTAACTCAACGACTAACAATTTTGATTTTATGATAGGTACTGGAGCAGCAGGACAGAGTCATGGCCGAAGATGGTGCCTCAGATGTCGACGGTGTCCAAAGTGTTCGGTTCGTGGGTGTTCGAACGATACAGATACGATCTGACGCTGCTGCAGGCTGCTGGGAAGAATGACGACGGAGATAATGTCTTTGCCCGGCTGGTGAAAGAGTCCACGACTGCGTTGCTAAATTCATGCACTAGAAAAGGGTATCCCTACGTGGCGTGGGGAGTCAAGACTTTGGTTATACAAGCTTTGGTTTCAAAAGAGGCTGCTTCCCTTCAAGCCCAAAAGTTTTCCGAGGCCAATCAAAATTGTACTGGCTATTAGGGGGCCTTTTCCTTGATTTGGGCTCAATTTACTTTGGGATTGTACTAGCAACATCGCGACGCTATGAACGGTACAGGGAGAGAGAGAGAGACGAGGGGGAGGGGAGGGGAGGGGTGTGTGTTAAAATTAGAATTATTAATTGGAGATTTAATATATATTACTTGAGTTTTGAATAAACAAACTTCACACCTTATTTTTTAAAATCAACTTTTTAAACACCCGATTTGTGTAATTTTTCCAAAAAAGCAGCAGCAATTTTTGTCTTCCTATTGGGCATTAATAACTCACGATGGTGGGCTGGATAGAGTAGGCCCGATGACAAATTTGATCCAAATTTAATCTAATAAGTTTTTGATGAAATTAGGCCCAATACTCCAAAAATGTAATAAACTTTAGCTAGCTATTTCAGATTAAACAGAGTGCCAACATCCCCTACATTTATATTGTGGTTCCTTCATTTGCTCGTTTAAAAATCTGACGTCAATCCTGCTACCAGCCAGCCTGAACTTCGAGTAGAGATTTCTCGAAATCCATCGACGTAGTTTTGCAAGCCAATGAGATGCCAGATAATTCCCTCCAATGAAATATAGCTTTCCTTGATTTCACCATCAATTAAATTATTATATAAATTAAAATACATATAAGGGACCACCAAATGGTGAAGGACTGGACCAATAATTACACACAAGACCCCTAGATTTTTGACCAAACAATATAAAAGAGCATTTTAACCTTCTCAAGAATCGATTTCTCATCTGTAAAAGTTCAAACTCAACTTGAATGATCTTAAACAAGTTCGGATGGAGCCTTGGCGGAAGAGGTGATTGTTCGAGATGCTAGGTCCGTTCGAGACATAAGAATCCTTCACTGCCTTCGAAGGTAGAACGGGTTGTCTTCGATCTCAGGAGCTGCAAAGAGAAAGATCTCTTTCTCATAGCCCTAGGACCACAAAGAAGATTAATGTACACAACTTTCACAAACTACATTTAAATGCCAACTTTATCTTCATCATATTAATTTATATAATATCAAGAACCAAAAGGACATTTACCCCCAATTAATAAACTATTGGGGGGGGGGGGACCACCCTACAAATTAGAATCTATTGATTCTATACATACAGAAAAGTTATAGATACAAGATTAAAAGCACACATTAAGTTTTACAATGCTAATCATTTCCAAGATAAAGCTCAAATTTCCTAAAAAAGGATATAAACTAGAATTAAGTACATCCCATTTTTGGCAATATCACATTGTCCTATAATCTTGCAGCCTTAAATGGGAACCAAAAGTTGTATGGCCTGATAATGAATAGTAGCTGACTAGCAAAAAAATGTACTTAAAACCATAAACAAAGTGGAAAATGAAACAGATAATGAGATTTTAAAGCAGATAAATATGATTTTATAATTCAATAAGCGTACTTTGTACAACATTTGGACAGTATAAGTACACGATTTTAGCCTGAATGGAGATCTAGCAGCTAATCATAAAAGTAAAAAGAGGATTTCTTATGATGCTTAACAGAATTTAGTGGCTTGCTTCAAGAAAATCAAACTACTCAGCTTTTCTGGTGGATATTATATGCTATATTTGGAACTTACCAATAAATTTGCTGATG